CCACCCAGGCTCAAGTGATCCACCCACCTCAGCCTCCCAAGTAGCTGGGACTACAGGCACATACCACCATGCCCAGCTAATTAAAAACAAGAGATTGGGTTTTACCATGTTGCTGAGGCTGGACTCAAACTCCTGGGCTCAAGCAACGCACCTGCCCCGGCCTACCAAAGTGCTGAGATTATGGGCATAAGCCACCACACCTGGCCTCTTCTAGAATTTTAATAGTTTGAGGTCTTACATTTAAGTCTTTAATCCATCTCCAGTTAATTTTTATATATAAAGGAGGTAGGGGTATAGTTTCATTCATCTACATATAGTTAACCAATTTTCCTAGCAACGTTGATTGAATTGGGTGTCCTCTCTTCATTGTTTAATTTTGTCAATTTTGTTAAAGGTCAGTTGTTTGCAAGTGTGTGGCTTTCAGGGGTCTCCAGGCCGTTCTATTGGTCTATGTGTCTATTTTTGCACCAGTACCCTGCTGTTTCGGTTACCGTAGCCTTTTAGTATAGCTTGAAGTCAGGTACAGTGATGCCTCTGGCTTTGTTCTTTTTGGTTAGGATTGCTTTGGGTTTCATATGAGTTTTAGAATCATTTTTCTTATTCTGTGAAAAATGATGTTTGTTATTTGATAGAAATAGCATTGAATCTGCAGATTGCTTTGGACAGTGTGGTCAAGTCCACTTTTTAATTCACCAATTTTTATTTTTATTTTTGTTGAGATAGGGTCTCACTCTGTCATCTAGGCCAAAGTGCAATGGCACAATCATGGCTCACTACAGCCTTGATCTCCTGGGCTCAAGAAATCCTCTCTCCTCAGCCTCCCCCGTAGCTGGGACCCACAGGCATGCACCACCATGCCCAGATAATTTTTTTAATTTCTATTTTTTTGTAGAGATGGGGTCTCATTCAGCCTGACAAACATGGAGAAGTCCCATCTCTACTAAAAAAAATACAAAAAATTAGCCAGATGTGGTGGTGCATGCCTGTAATTCCAGCTACTTGGAGGGCTGAGGCAGGAGAATCACTTTAACTCAAGAGGCAGAGGTTGCAGTGAGCCGAGATTGCGCCACTGCACTCCAGCCTGGGCAACAAGAGTTTTTAGCATAGAGTGATGACTTCCAAGCTCCTTACATGCCAGAACAGAAACTGGAAATCTATTATTTCTTTGACTCATGCGTTATTTAGGATTATTTAAAATATTTCAAATAAATGAGATTGTTTGGTTTATCCTTATTTCTAATTTTATTACATTGTGATAAGAGAATGCTGCTTTCCATGCTATCAGTTTTTGAGAATTTGTTGAAATTTTCTCTGTGGCTCCATACCTTGTCCGTTTTTCTTCAATGTTGTATATTACCTAAAACAGAATGCATCAGGTGCAGTGAGGTCTTTATGCCATTAGGTAAAGGACTTTGATTGTATAGTTTATAACGCAAACTCTGTAGTCCACAACGTGATCACCGTTCCTCATCCTCACCCCCAGATGACCAAATAACATTGACAGTGATATTAAAATACAAATTTTCTTTTTCCATTTAAGTCACTGAGAGATAGCTTTTTTTCCATTACCAGAAATATTACAATGCAGCAAACAGGCAAACTTCTCATGAATTTTAAAACTAAACAGTCCAATTTAAAATTTTAGTCTCTAGCCGGGCATGGTGGCTCACACCTGTAATCCCAGCACTTTGGGAGGCTGAAGCAGGTAGATCACAAGGTCAGGAGTTCGAGATCAGCCTGACCAAAATGTTGAAACCCTGTCTCTACTAAAAATACGAAAATTAGCTGGGCATGGTGGTGCACACCTGTAATCCTAGATACTCAGGAGGCTGAGGCAGGAAGATCGCTTGAACCCAGGAGGCGGAGGTTGCAGTGAGCCAAGATCACACCATTGCACTCCAGCACTCCAGCGTGGGCGACAGAGCAAGACTCTGTCTCAAAATAAAGAAATAAATAAATAAAATAAAATAAAGTAAAATAAAAATTTAGTCTCATATCCAACTCAAACATTTATCTCTCCCACACACCTAGTTCAGAATTAACTGTGGCTTGTGGACTACAGTGGATAAGGTGGGTGAGCTCTTTTTACAACCCTCCTTGCTTTACACATCTCCCTTCTCTCCAATGCTTCTGGGCTTCCCTTCCTTTTCAGGTTGGTTGTAATGCCTAATGAGGGATGGCGTGGGTTCCTCTTTGGAGATTTCTTCAAGGAAATACTCTACTGCACAGTTTGCTGACTTAGGCCATGTGTCTTCTAGTTGACTTCTTGGACTCTCTTCGGTAGAGACCCATTATACTGGCTCAAGCCTGGTTACTTCCTATGGTGTCCTTTTTAGTTTATAGGAAAGTCATGCTTTATGCATCCTCGACGCACCAAATTCTAGTAGTGTACATAGATCCCACTACCTTCTCTCTTTTCTACAACATTTAGGGCTTCAAACTCTAGGGAAGTATGTCAAACCCTTGGGCAGGATGCTTACGGTCTGTTATCCCCAGTTCTGGGGGTTCATCAGACACTATGAGTCTAAAGGAAAATATCCCCTCCACGTCTCATTACTCTTTCATTTTCTTTCCCTTATTATAACTTCTGTAATATATCATGGGATTGGAATGTCCTCGGCCTTCATATATACTTCATATATATAGAACACTCAATAGTGTTCTAATGAGTTTACCAATTTTATATATTTAGATATGAAGAAAATGTTGTCATATAGCAAAGGGCCTAACTACCTCCATTGGCCTGCTGTGACAGGATACTGGCCCTACACATCATTTAACTACTGTAGGCATTAATAATGTTTTTAAACCAGGGAACTATCACTTTTTCTAAATAATTCAAGTTTTGGGAAGCATCAAATGAAATAATCAAAATGAAATTTGTTTATACGGTGTAAGATATATTCATGACTATTTTAAACATTGTATTTGGTATCATGACTTTAAATTACATAAGTTGAGAAGTTTTACAAATATCTCTAAATAAGGTTTATTTTTCCGGAAAACCATAGACAAAAATTATCCTATAATAAAATGAAAACTTCATCATGTCATCTGTGCCAATTCCAATTTTAGGAAGTGTACTTATTAGGGCTTTGATTTTTCTTTGAGGTTCTCTGTTGTCAAAGTGAAGTAACGTAATGACGCTATGGTTGTATCCTGGAATGAAAGGAGGAATGAGAATCTTCTATTATTGTTTTCCTAAAAATTCGATTTCTTAAGTATTTCTTAATATAACAGAATATATCCATATGCATCATCAAGGATGAATTTTCCGGTGATTTGGCTTAATGGAATCTCTGGGAGTTATGAAAAAATTCCTTTGCCCCTCTTGTTGCCATAAACCTTGTGTTATCTGTGTTGCACAGACCATGGCTAGCCATTTAATGCCATGAACTATGGCATATAATTTGAATTGAGAGCTTTGTTCCTATCAAAGGTAAAAATATTTCTGGGGTGAATGAGGAAGGCTTTGAAGCAGTGAGAGCCTTTCCCCTGTAATATCATTGGGTTCTGACAGTAGGATCTTGAAGAGGAGGCTTCTAATCCTGTCATTATTTGACAGGTAAGTCACCTGATCTTTTTGTTGTTGTTTTCTTTTATTTAGTCTTTCTTTGTTGCCCAGATTGGAGTGTAGGGGCGCGATCTCGGCTCTGCTTCCCGGGTTCAGGTGACTCTCCTACCTCAGTCTCCTGAGTAGCTGGGATTACAGGTGTGCACCACCGCGCAAAGCTAATTTGTGTATTTTTAGTAGAGATGGGGTTTCACCATGTTGGCCAGTCTGGTCTGGGATTCCTGACCTCAAGTGACCCACCTGCCTCGGCCTCCCAGAAGTGCTGGGATTACAGGCATAAGCCGCCGCGCCTGGCCCCGATCTCTTTGAACTCAGTTCCCTCATCTGTAAACCCAGAGGCTTGGGTTGGATAATCCACACTTGTCCTTAAAGACAAGGTATACGGAGCTTGTAAATAATGCTCACTGTGCAAAGTAAGATATTGTCTGGTGTCTGCAGAATCAGGTAATTCCAAGGCCATTGTAAGGCAAAACAAAGCTCAGATTTGATGAAAGAAAATTTCAAGGACTTCTTCCGAAGCATAAATATAAGGCAGATAACATCAACACAGGAGAGAGGCAGTCTGTTTTATGCAATGTAAAATTCCCTCTCGACTTCTAGGATAATGGGACTCAGGTAGACCATTTGACTACAAGACCCTAAGTAAGTCCGTGTTATTTCTTGGGTACTGTGGCATTGTTAGGGACGATCACATATGTTAACTTATAACAACCTGAACACTTCAAGAAATGTAAATGTAGATTTTGCGGCTTGCCCAAGTCCCACAGCTAGTGAGTGGAGAGGATTTTAAAATCACCTGCGCGCCTAGTGCAGGTTCCAGAACCTCAGGGGCTTTATGAAACATAAGGACGTAGGGCGCTGGTAACAATCGCTAACACGAGTGTCCCCTCTGCGCTAGACCCCATGCTGCACGCTCTAGTCGCATTTCCTTGGTTAGCCCTCGGAACAACCTTGTGATTGACGTGCTGCTAGTACTTGTTACTCTTTAAAGGGCGGGGTAGGCTCTGAGGCCAGCGAATTGAGCTGCAGAGGGGTGAGTGTTACGCTACCAGGTAGATGAGGGTCTGTGTAAATTTGGGGGAAGGGAAGTGGTGGGATTGTCTCCCAGTTTCGGTTCTCGGAAGGAGTAAGGGGCCTCTCCAGCTGTGGTCTCCACGTACAGTCGGTCTCTGATCTCCCGAGGCTTTGTAGCACTTCGCGCCCAGGGATCTTTCTGTCCCAGTCACCATGCAAGGTTCTCCCCTCCAGCTGTCTGTACTGAGGCGGCGGGAAAAAACGCTGAGGGAGGGCCCAGACCGCAAGGACCCCAGCCTGCAGCTATTCTCGGGGGCTGCAGCTCCCGCACCCGCGACGCCCAGCTTCCGGCGGGAGCGAGCGCAGCCTCCTCGTTCCCTTCCCACCCGCGGCGGCGCCGGGAGCACGAAAGCTCAGCTGACCTAGGGGCGGGGCGGGGGCAGGAACCTAAAGCCTCGGCTCCTTCCGAGTGGGTGAATGGCTTCCCAGCCGGCCCCTCGCAGCGTTGCCTTTCGATCCCTCCAGATCTCCGGGGCGCCGGTCCCCAAGATGCGCCTCCAGCTGCTCCTGCTGCTTGCGCTGTGCGGTGCAGGCCCCGCCGCCGCGGCGCTCCGCTTCAGCTTGCGGGGAAACTGGCGCCTCTGCAACGGTAACGGCTCGCTCGAGCTGCCCGGGGCGGTCCCCGGCTGCGTGCACAGCGCCCTGTTCCAGCGGGGCCTGATCCAGGTACGGTGTGCGGCCGCCTTCCTTGGGTGCTGAGAGGGGTCCAGGAACTGCCTGGCAGCCCCGAGCTCTTGGCAGTAACTTCCCCTTTGCATCTTGTGATCCGCGGGCGGGAAATGCCCAGGCTCTGGGGTACGGACTAAACGGAGACCGAGCGGGCGCCCGTGTGGGGACGTTAGTAACCCTGGAACGCGGAAGTTCAGAGAGAGGAACAGTGCTGCTACTAGCGGATTACTTACTGCAGTCGTTCTCGACTGAAGCGTGTAGGCAAAGGGCATGCTGTCACCGACAAGGTGGGGAATTACTGTCTCTACTATCTGCACACTGCAGGGGATAACAGCGTTTTGCTAAGTAAGGGTTACTCTCTCGAGTAACATCTCGGTTTTTTTTTTATTTTCGCTTTTAAGCGTCAGGGAGTCCGATTTGGGATTGATGCAGCATGGACGTTGTGGAGAATGATCTGCAAGAGTAAAGGGTTTGTCAGTGCTAGTGTGGCTAATAATGGGTAAAGAATCATTTGATGAAGAAAGGTGCTGTTTCCTCTCAGGGTGTGTGTGTGTGTGTGTGTGTGTGTGTGTGTGTGTGTGTGTTTGTGTCCCAATTGTCTCCAATTTACAGATTAGTTGCGGGGAACATTTCCTGTTTGGCTGCCTGTGCATAGTATTGGTTTGCAAACTGAACTGACTTCCATCCTCCAACTGCTTTTGCTGTTTCCTCTTGCACAGCGTTCCCACGTGTTGTCTTTGCTTTTGGCAAGATGTACTTGTAATTGATCTACTTGTGAGATGCATACATTGTCCAATCCTCATCATACCTGTATATAGTAAGTGTCCATATCTGAATTTAATGGATAATATGGAATTATGGAACACAGAGAAATTAGGAAGGTAACTGATATAAGTGGAAAGAAATGGAATTCTAACCCAGGCAATCTCAGCTCCATAGCCTGGTCTCTATTATGTGGTATGCTTACTTTGGTTTTTTGAAAAATCATGCGTTTTTGAAGCACTGTGGTTGACTTTCAGGAGCACCATTCTTTTTTTTTTTTTTTTTTTTTTTTTTTTTTTTTTGAGACGGAGTTTCGCTCTTGGTACCCAGGCTGGAGTGCGATGGCGCGATCTCGGCTCACTGCAACCTCCGCCTCAGGAGCACCATTCTGTTTGTTTCCATGACAAGGTGGTCACCTAGGGTTATGCAAAATTTCCAATATGGTACTTAGTAGTTTTTTTTTCCTGATATATGTATCAGAAAGGAGGTGATTGTTGTAAATGTCACTGAACATTGTCAAATATATTTTTAGAGTAAATCATTCCCCAACTTAAGTACTGTATTTTTAGTTAACAAACTACTTGTGATATAGAACACGGCTGACCACAGTATACCCTGAGTCTTTACTTATATCTGCTTTGAGAATGCCTCTGTTTATTTTGTAGGGTTCCTCCTTGCCTCATTTACTGAAATATTTAAGCCAATGGGTGCTGGTATGTCAGCTCAAGCTGGTTATTCCAGTGCGTTGGGAGGCCAAAGTGGGAGGATTCCTTGAGGCCAGGAGTTCAAGACCAGTGTGGCCCTCATAGAAAGAGTCTATAAGGCTGAGGTGGGAGGATTTCTTGAGGCCAATAATTCAAGACCAATATGGCCAACATAGAGATATTCTATCTCTACAAAAAAACAAACAAACAAAAATTAAGCCAATGAGAAATAATGAGTGGTGTCAGCATGTCAGATTTGTGCCATATTACAGAGCTAAGAAATAATGGTTGGTTATTACAGATAACGAAAATGAAGGTGCTCATAGTATGAAATAACTTCCTCATAGGAATAATTTAAAGAGATTTCTTAAATCTCTTCACAAATTCTTAGAAAAACTTTTTAATCAGGTGGATATGGGTCTCAAGTGGTAGTGGGATGAGAAATGGGAAGGCTTTTGGGGCTTAGGAAACACAAGACCTATTGAAAATAATCATCAGGGCTGGGGACAGTGGCTCATGCCTGTAATTCCAGCACTTTGGAGGCAGAGGTAGGTGGAGTTTAAGACCAGCCTGGGCAACCTGATGAGACACTATTTCTACAAAAATTAGAAAACTAACTGGGTGTGGTGGCACACATCTGTGGTCCCAGCTACTTAGGAGGCTGAGGTGGGAGGACCACTTGAACCCAGGAGGTTGAGGCTGCAGTGATCTGTACTCCAACCTGGGCAACAGAGTGATACCCTGTCTCAAAAAAATAAATAAATAAAAATAAAGAAGAAAAGAAAATAATCATCAACATCAGTATCAGTATTGTTATTCAGTAATGTAAGACTGTTATCCTACCTGCTTTATTATAAGATCCCTTTTTAGTGTTGAATTCAGGAAATTTCTACAGTTTAGAGTAGACACTGGGCCAAATATTGTGTTTGTGTAAGAACTTGAAACGTGTCTTGGTGAAATCATTTATTTATTTATTTATTCACCTAATTAATTATCTCATTTATTTCATACCTCATATCTTGGTGAAATTATTCACTTATTTATTTATTCACCCAGTTAATTATCTCATGATTATTTTATAACTCATATCTTGGTATACTTCATATCTTGGATAACTCATATCTTGAAATCATTCATTTATTTTTTCACCTAGTTAATTATCTCATATTTATTTCATACCTCTGATGTGGCAGGCACTATTCTAAGTACTTGAAATTGAGTGGTAAAGAAAACAAAGTCCTTTCTCTAATGGACATTCTAGTGGAGGAGATAGACATACCAAACTAATAAATAATGTAATGGCCGGTGGTACATTGAAGAAAAATTGAGCAGGTTAGAGGAAGAGACAGTGAAGTCTGGTTGGAAAGCATTGCTATTTTTTTTTTTTTTTTTTTTTTGAGATGGAGTTTTGCTCTTGTTGCCCAGGCTGGAGTGCAATGGCACAATCTTGGCTCACCATAACCTCCACCTCCTGGGTTCAAGCGATTCTCCTGCCTCAGCCTCCAGAGTAGCCGGGATTACAAACATGTGCCACTATGCCTGGCTAATTTTTGTATTTTTAGTAGAGATGGGGTTTCTCCATATTGGTCAGGCTGGTCTTGAACTCTGGACCTCCAGTGATCTGCCAGCCTTGGTCTCCCAAAGTGCTGGGATTAGAGGCATGAGCCACTGTGCCTGGCCAGCATTGCTATTTTTTAAAAAGTGGCTGAAGATAGGTATTTTAATAAGGTGACTTTTAAACAGAGAGACCTGTTTGAAAAGGTAGCTTTTAAGGAGAAGTGCATTTCCAGCAAAGAGGAAAAAAGACAGGAGTGGGGAGGAAAGAGGTCCTGAGGCAGGAATGAGCTTGACAAGTTTCCAGAATCGTCAGCAGGCCAATGTGGCTGGAGTCCTGTGAACCAGAGGGAAGAAGAGGAGTTCAAACTCTAGGACAGATCATGAAGGGCTGTGAACCTTAGGAAACACTTTGGCTTTTTATTCTACATGTGATAGGAAGTTATTGGGGGCTTTGAGTTTAGAGCAGCATAGTCAGATTTGCCTTTTTCAAGGTCATTCTGTTGTGTGAAGGCTACAGTGCAGGAGAGTAGAAGCCTGGACACCAGCCAGGGGACTATTGCTGGTCTATGGGCAAGAGACGGCTTCTGGCTTGGACCAGTGTGGTGGCAGTGAAATGCTGAGAATGGTTGTGAGAACATATTTTAAATGTAGAAACAACAGGATTTCTTCAGCTGGATTTGTTGATGGATTGGGAGAGAGAAGAGGGAGGTGCAGGAAAATACCAGAATTTTTTATCTGAGCTGGTTAAATGAAATTTGTATTTAGTTAAGGGATTCTGTGGCTAGTCTTGGCTATTTCATAGGTGACTGTTTGGATTTTCTGTACAGAATCTAAACCTTTCGTGTCTTAGAGAGACTTTTGAGTTCTCTGTGAAAAGTTATTCCTTCGGCCTGCTTTTTTTTTTTTTTTTTTTTTTTTTTTTGAGACAGTTCTGCTCTTGTCACCCAGGCTAGAGTACAATGGCATGATCTTAGCTCACTGAAACCTCTGCCTCCCAGGTTCAGGCAATTCTCCTGCCTCAGCCTCCCAAGTAGCTGGGATTACAGGCATGCACCACCACTCCTGGCTAATTTCATATTTTTAGTAGAGACAAGGTTTTGCCATGGTGGTCAGGCTGGTCTTGAACTCCTGAACTCAGGTGATTTGCCTGCCTTGGCCTCCCAAAGTGCTGGGATTACAGGCATGAGCCACCATGCCCAGCTCTTAGCCTGTTATTATGCCACACAGTATAATAGGCATTAGGAATAAAAAAAGAAATTGAGACCGGTGAAATTTCTACTTTAAGATTACATCACAGTAGTTATACATGTGATTAACAAGCTAGTCACAGATATTCTTTTTTTATTTTATAAACAAAAACTATTGTATTATAAATACAAAATAAACAAAAGATAGTTATATGTTAGCTATTATGAAGGGTGAAAACGTTATATAAACTTCAAAAAGCTGCTTTCTGCATCTGCGTCAATGTAATTTCATGATTTCCTACCTATTTCATTTGTAGAAATAATCTCTATGTTCAAATTATCATTCACTTTCATGCCCCCACATGGAAAGTGGTAGGTGAATATCTGTAGGAATACAATTTTTTGCCTGCTTGCCCACTCAAAAGTAGCCCTGTGTCTCTATCCAGTCTACACTCAGAACTTTGTCTTCAAGAGCAGCCAGATCACACAACTTCTTGTATCCCACAACTTGATAATAATATCTAGAGATCCTGAAATCAGTTGCTGTTCACAGGTAGGAGACCATTTTACTAATGTCACCCAACCTGTATGTGACGTTAGGGAAAGTGACACCAAAGAATGGTTTTTCGTTTGGGGATCCCACAGTCTGGTATGCCTATCTGGGCTTCTAGGTGCTAAGTGTTTACAAAGTTGGAGAATTGGAAATGCAATTAAGCAGTTCGTTTCTTGTAGAAGTTTGACTTAAGACTGCCAGACTCAGCATTCCACCCTGTAATTTTATGGTCCC